TCCAGTGTCTCAATGTGCCTCAAGAGAGCATCTGATGGGGTTAGTTGACCCTCGTCCAATACTGGGCAGCACGGCACAGAGCAGCCAAGCACTCTATCCAGAGCGTTCTCATATGCCGTCACAATTGTCGATTTCTCTGTATGGGCGCAAAGACGGTGATCAAGGTGTGAGGAACGCAAAACCAAGTGGTCGTAAACTTTGTAACGTCCTCTTACAAATGCCTGTGTGGCACCGCCTTGTTAGAAACCAAAGCATGTTCTGAAGGCTGTGACTGCATTCTGGGGCCACCTTCACTTTGTTTGGAATCTTAATAATATTTGCGGCGGCTGGGAACCATCTGTTCCAAAATATTTCTCATTGTGGGTTGAGTAGTTGTTACTGTGAATTTTCTACCAATGTAAACAGAATGTACTGCCTTTCATAGTAATACAAGTGAAAAGCCATCGTTAAAGACGTTTGCTTTGGTTGACTTCACCAGGCATCCTCAGCCACTGTACTTTACACGATCACACATTTTTTAAATAAGATTTCTTTTTCTTTTCAATTTTAAGATTAGCATCCTCGTTTTGGTAGCGACAGAAATGGCAAAGACATATATTTCTTCCTTCTTGGGGGAATGACAGATTCAGTCCCTTTTTCTCCCTGAGGCCTTACAATTCGTACCTACAGTGTGATTTACCGCACCCTGTGGGTGCTGGCTGCATGCATCGGACCACTCCCCCGCATGCGCGCAGGAGGCTGACAGCCAGCCAGCCTGTGGGGTGAGAAGCTGGAGCAGGTGGTCCTTGGAGCCTGAGTTCACGTGTTCATCTAGCTCATGAGAGCATTAGTAACGGAGGTGGGTGGATCATATATTTGGGTTAATGATGATGAAAACAAAAATAACATTCGTTTGGGAAATGTAACCAGACACAATTTATAGTGGAGAACCCAGATGGAACCGTAATTCATTTATGAGACAGACAGAAAGAAATACTTTGTTTTACTTTTTTCATGTGGATACCATAAAAATTTTAAGACCAATTTGGGCTTCTTCATACTTTCTTTTCCTCCCAAACTCCCCAGAGAGATGGGTGGGTTTGAACTATGGCTAGTAGCCCAGCATTTAGCTTACTAAGGACCTAGTGTTTGACTAAGCATTGAGCCTCGGGGTGAATTGGCTTTAATTTTTTTCAAAAGCAAAAAATTCAGAGATTTTGTTCATCTTGATTGTATTAATTTTTGTACTTTTCTTGAGCCATATGTCCCAAGTAGTTAAATGGAAGTACTGTGCAGAATCATGTGTATTCACTTCAAGTGTTTACATTTTAAGCAGCTTCCTGTTCCCTGACACTGTAGCCTCACAAAGATGGATGACCTCGATTTCTCCACTGCCTATGGATTCTGGCCTCAGAGCTGTCTAGAGGATCTGATGCTGCAGTCTCCACAAGACAGTAGCCAACACTCTTTTATAGGAATACTAAAAAGCCTAAACCTAACTCACTGCCATCAAATCAGTTCCAACTCAGAGCAACCCAAGAGGCCAGAGTTACAACTGCCTCCGTGGGTTTCCAAGACTGCGACTCTTCACCAGGGTAGAGCGCCGAGTCATTCGCCCGCAGAGCAGCCGGCCGTTTCCAACGGCCAGCCTTGTGGTTGGCAGCCGCTGGCTGGCCCATTATGCCACCAGGGCTTCTGGAACACTACAAGTGCCCTTCAACTGTAACAAATCCAACTCCGTTGCAAATTGGATAAAGGTTTATCGAGCAGATCAGGTTTTTCATTCAAAAAGACAGACACATTTTGGTTTGTATTATTGCAATCCCAGAATGCGGCATCACTCATCCCACGTTGCTGGGCATCGTGTTTCTCATTCCATTTCCCTCCTGCCTGATGCTTAGCAAATGCTGCCCATCTCGTCTCAAATGCTTGATTGTCTGAGAAGTGCAGGCCTCCCTAGTGTCACTGGTCACCTTATAAAAACCCTTGTCATCACTTCTCATTCACTGACAGTCAATCCAACTCAAAGAGACCTGTCGACGGAGTAGAATTGCCCTTTAGGGTTTGCAAGGCTATAAATCTTTATAGTAGGAGATGACCTCATCTTTCTTCTGCAGAGGGACCAGTGGGTTTGAACCATGGCTAGAAGTCCAATGCTTAGCTCACTAGAGACCTAGGATGAAAAAGGACGTACGGGGTTCCACCAGTCTGTGTCAGACCAGTAAGCCTTGTGTTTCCTTATGATCTTGAGCTTTATTCCCTATTTCCCCCCACTCTGTCTAGGGCCTTCTAATGCGATCCACTTCAGGGCAGTTGGTAGTAGTGGTTGGGCACCATCTAGTTCTTCTGAGGCTCATGAATTATTTCCTTGCATCTCTGATTTTCTTCACTCTTATTTGCTCTGGGCAGGGAGAGACTCACAGTTCTACCTTAGATGGCATCTCACAAGGTTTCTCAGGCCCAGTCATCACAGCAAAGGTGGAGGTAGAACACTTTCTATACCATTTGACCTTGGTGGTCCCCCAAAACTACAGTCCTGAACTCCAGGTCCAGGAACTGACTCCCGCAAGGTGTTTAGTTATAGCTAAGAAGTTTTCATAATCTTCCATTCATGGATGTATTGGCAACGTATGGTCTCTTCCATTCATGGATCTATTTACAGCACTTGTAAATATATATGTAGAAATATCCTCTTCCAAACTTGTATATTGATGGATATTTTCCATTCTGTTTCCTACATCTGTTCAACTTTCATGTCTGCCCACGGATCCACTCATAGATTATTGCTGTTCCTGTTATTGTATGGTTGTGTGTGTAATGCTGTTTATCTCTGTTGCCTTAAACCGAGTGCTCCACCCAGGGCCTTTCTTTGCCTTCATTATTTTTGCTGACCAGCCCCCTTTACTGGGGATTGCCTGTCCCTTCACCTAAGTGTGTCTACCCTCTAGTTAGTAATTACCCTCCTGTCTCTCCTACCCCATAACCATAAAAGGGTTTTGTGTGAAAACCTATTCTTGACTTCCTATAATAGTAGTCTCATACAATATTTGCTCTTTAGTGATTGACTAATTTCCCTCAACATAGTATCCTCCAAGTTTATCCATATAATGAGGTATTTTTCAGGTGTATTGTTATTCTTTTAACCATAGGTAGTATTCCATTGTATTTGGGTATGATAGTTTGTTTATCCACTCTTCCACTGATGGACTCAGATTATTTGCATCACTTTGCTATTGTGAATAGTGCTCTGATGAACATGGGTGTGCATATATCTATTCATGTGTGGCTCTTTATTTCTCTGTCATACCTAATAGTAGCACGCCTGCATCACAAGGTACTTCTATACCCAACTTTTAATGTTTTAATTTTATTGATATATAATTCACATATCGTACACTTCAATAGCTTAATCATATTTAAAAGAGTTGTGTAATAATCGCCACAGTTAATTTTTGAATACTTTCTTCTTTCTTATACTCAGTTTATTAGCTCCACTTCTTCCTCCAACCTCCACTGCCAATCGGTCCAGTCCCTGTCTCTATTAGATCTACCTATCTTGGACTTCATACCAATAAAAACATGCCCCCCTCAAAAAACAACAACACAACCAAGAATACAAAACAGAAATCTTAATGGAAGAGAATACAGAAAATATTAAAAACTGGGACAAATTTGAAATGGGTCAAAAGGGAGAACAAATGACAAGATGTTAAATTTTAACCTAACTACATCTTCATTAACCCATTTCCAGTGTGCACTCGCTGTTACCAGAGCTGTTCACACCCCTGATCGGTGGCCAAGGGGATTCACCAGAGGCTTAATCCCTGTGGGGACACTGCAAATGGATTTTAGGCTTCTGTCACCCAAAGCATTCTACAAACTGGGTGCTCGGAATTTAAACTCTTAATACTGTTCCCTCCTCCAGCCTTCAATTTATTTATGAATAGTCCTTGAATCACACAGGCTCATGTACTTTTGTTGAATTTAACTGACACCTCACTTGGATGACTGCTTGTTTTAAGAGAAGCCTTCTAAGATCTCAGATGCTATTCCTTCTGATAGCCAGCTACCATCTGATTTCTTCACCACACTTTGCTGTAGCACCCATGTCTTCAGTGATCTCTTTACGCAGGCAAGTATCAAGTAGGGCCAGGTCATAAGAACTAATTGTTCTTAGATTAGGGTTTACGATTAAGTACCAGCTCAAAATCCATTCATATTACTATGGTTTATGTATTTCCCTGGTCTACTTTAGGAGACATCATTATCTCTTTATTGAGGATTATTATAAATAATCTTCATGGAGAATACAGTAATTAATTTAGCCAATGTTATTGAACATAAAATTCTGTTGGGAAAAGGAAAGTATACATGCATAGTACAGATTTTTAGACTAAAATACATACATGGTTGACTGGTACAGATGAAAAACGTAAGTGACTGGACACTATTTACACAAGGCGTATTGGAGATAGTGCGCTCTACTGTTTGAGGATGCACTGTACTACTTTTCGGAGTTGTACAACCCCACCATCAGTGGTGCAGTGGGTGAACCCTTGGGTAGTTTACAAGATGGTCAGTGGTTCAAACCCACCAGCCGGCCACACCCTGGGAGAAGGGTGAGATGGTGTGCTCCTGTAAAGACCTACAGCCGCAGCAAGGGGAAGCTCTGCTCTGCTCTGCTCTGCCTATGAGTCACGGGGTTGAAATCAACTCCATGGCTGCGGGCGTGGATTTTTAACAGCTAATGACCATGGGCATGGTCACTCATGTGCTTGTTAGTGCCAGCAGTGTCCAAAACCTGTGTTAATTTTTTAGGTGGACTATTGGTCTTGTTGTTGTTGAGGTTGGCACCACTACATAGAAAGCAAAGCTTCAGAAACTGTTCTTGATAAGTATGGCCGGTGCTACGGTGTCATTTAAAACTGGAAAATGGGAGTTGTAAACTAAGTGGGTAAGGATAGCTCTCCTTGTCAGTATCCTAAGTCATCTAAAGGCTTGTTTTCTTTCTTTTTTTACAGACCTAATTTCCAGAGCGCTGCATATTAAGAGAAACCCCAAGAAAGCTGTACGTTTGGTTGTCTAGTAACCTTGGAGTTGATATGAACCTACACGTAGTCTTTGTTGTCAACGACAGACCCCGGTTGTATGTGCATTATCCACATTCCTCTCTGTTGTGTTTCAGGGGACAAAAAAGACATTTTAGCCTTTTTTAAGGTTATTGTTTAATTTAATGTTATTTGGTTGCATGAAGTTGCCCTTTGCCACTGAGGATGATGAAGACTTTTACACAGACCGACCGTGTCTAGGATCCTTTTAAGGCAGTATGCTCATCATTCTCCTGCCTCTACCCCACCATCGCCAAGCAGTTAAGTTGTCAGTGCGCATTTAAATTGTCACTCAATGTTTAAGGATGGGATTTCCGCTCTGGCAGAACCAACCCAGGACTTAATTCCTAGATACATAATGTTGGTATATTGACCACCAATTTTAAATGATCCTTCAGTTTTGAGGCCATGTATGTGTAAAGTTTAACCATATTGTAAAATATCTATTCTGTATTAGAAATAGCGAGTTGAGAGCTTATACTTCTCGAAGCTCATGTTGCTCTGTACACAAACTCAGTCTCTCTCTGTGCAGTTGGTGAGTCCTTTTGTGTTTCTCCGAATAAAGGCAATGATTTATTCCCACCTCCCAATGCCAATACAATGTGAGCGGACCACTCAAGGTAGGTCCTTCGCGTTTCAGTAAATCTGGAGTCAGCAGCAGCCCCATGGGAAACCAACAAAGCATCGACTTTCTAGTCTGGACTTTGAAAAACTGCTGCTTTCTTTTGGAACTAGAGTTCGAATAGTTACGATTCATCCCACAAACCATCATTTTGTGTACGTTAGTGTTGCTGTTGTGATAACAGAGAATTTTGTTTATTTTTATGCGGCTTCCATTGTGAGAACACAGTTGTCGGTTTGGGTTTTATCGACCCTGTGATGCTGGTCCTTGGAACATCTTTTGCATATTCGAGGTTTGTAGTTGAAAGTTTACTGTAAAAAAAAATCAAAAACAAAAAAACATTGTTTTTACAGAATAAATTTATTGGAATGTGTACTGGGATTAAGATTTGAGGTTGTTAGCAACCACGTTAGTGTAATTTGGCTTCATATATGTAATGTGAGGTATTAATGTAATTCATATATTAAAGCAAAGGTGGTTAACAGCAAATTGACAATAGAATCAAGTGCAGGTGAGGGTTTCCTTTTACATTCTTTTCTTTTCTGCACTCTGGTTGTTGTTATTTGAGCACACTGGGAGGAATGGCAATTGAGTTGCTTACACATTAATCTCCACCGGCTCAGTGAACCCTGGGGTTACCCTGGACGTCTTCTGTACATTGGTTCTGCACCCCACTTTCTTTTGATCTTCCTGTGTCTTTGGGAACACCAAACACATAGCAGGAAGAGGGCATGTGCGTGGTTTCTGAAAGCAGAGG